TATATATATATATATATATATATATATATATATATATATGTATATATATATATATATATATATATATATATATATATATATATATATATATATATATATATATATATATATATATATATATATATATATATATATATATATATATATATATATATATATATATATATATATATATATATATATATATATGTATATGTATATATATATATTATATATATATATATATATATATATATATATATTATATATATATATATATATATATATATATATATATATATATATATATATATATATATATATATATATTATATATATATATATATATATATATATATATATATATATATATATATATATATATATATATATATATATATATATATATGCATGTATGTATTTCCTCTCCTCGGCGTGTTTCTGTTGGTTCGCCATCCTCATTTCTCTCTTCATTTCCCTCAAGCATTCACTCACTCTCTTCTCCATTCCTTTGTCTTTATTTTTCTTTCGTTTCCCTTTTCTCTCCACCCCTCCTCCTCATTTCTTATCCTTTCTCACTTCCTTTCCCATAAAAACTATATCTACACCGTCGGGATGGTGCTGCCAAATATATCAAGCTTCATCAAAGACTCATTACAATAATTAGCTTAACGAAGTGCTAACAATATTAATTAAGGTCATTAACAACTCCCTTCTCTATCTGTTCCCCCAGGTCGCCCTCGCCCCAGCGTGTCTTGGTTCCACGAGGAGTCGCTCCTGGATAACGTCAGCGAGGTCAAACGAGGGGAGGTCACCACGAACACGCTCACCATCGCCGCTCTGACCCGGGCTGACCTGTATCGGGTCCTCACTTGCCAGGCTTCAAACTCTAACCTTTCTACACCCGTGGCGGCGACTGTGACCCTTGACATGAGCTGTGAGTGTCTCATTTATTTACGCGGTCCCTGTGTAGTGAGGCTCGGGCTGGGGGAAGGGCGGGGGGAACAAGGGAGAAAAGAATGTGGATTATTTTTTTCATGATTTTCCTCTTGTAATAATGATAAGGGAAGAAAGAGGAGGAAACGGGAGAGGGACGGGGAAGAGGATAAGGGGAAGGGGAAGGAAAAAGAGATGGGAGAGAAGGATGAGGAGGAGATGAACGAGCTAGGGGAGGAGGATGAAAAGGAGGGGGAGAAGGGAAGTGAGAGGAAGAGAACAAAGAGAGGGGAGAGAGAAATTGTGAAGAGCGAGAGACTGGTAGGAGAAGGTGGAGAAGGATAAGAGAGATGAATAGTAACAGCAGACATGTACTTGGGTGTAATGAAGCAATCAGGACGTAGGTATAAATATTGCTCTTAGGTGTAAATTGTGGATAAGCTCAGCCATCGGAAATATCTGCTTCAAAAATATTAATCCTGAAATTATCATCTTGTACATGCGGAGGCGGGAAACGAATCCCTTTTTTCGTAAATATATTAATATACATGGAAACTGCGTTGGGAGGTAATCACTCGCTGTGTGGTATGAGTCTATGTGCGCATGTACATGTGTTTGCTAGAGAGTTTATCGTATGTCAGTACTTAATGTTTCTGCTTTCAACTTTGAGTTTTTATGGTGAGAGATAAAAAGAGAAACAGATAGATAGAGGGAAAGGGGAGAGATAGGGAAGGAAGGAGGAAGGGAGATCAATAGTTAGATAGACAGATAGAGAAGGAGAGAGAGAGGTGGGAGGGTAGATAGATATATAGAGAGGGGGTAGCAGACACAGCCAGAGACAAAGGGTAAAATTACAAGATGCTCTAAAAGGATTTAATTGCCTCCTCTCGTTTAATCCAATGAATATACTCATTAAATCTTTCTCTCGACATCGACCCCAACTGAATGAACCCAAACGAGTGTCATAATTAATGTTATTCGTTATAGAATATCGTCGCCAGAAGGGTGAAAAACTATATATATATACATACATACATATATATATATATATATATATATATATATATATATATATATATATATATATATATATATATATATATATATATATATATTATATATATATATATATATATATATATATATATATATATATATATATATATATATATATATATATATATAATAATGATATTATGGGCGATAATGCAAATAATGATTGTTAATTCTAATGTTCATGATAATGACAGTTTTGATTATAACAAAATGATAATGATAATAACAACAATATCAATAATGATAATGATGATAATAATAATAATCATAATATATAATAAGGATAATATTAGTAGTAGTGATAATGATAATAATAATAATAATAACAATAACAATAATAAAAATAATAATAATAATCATAAGAACAATAATAATATTGATAATGATGATGGCAGTGATAATGAAAATACGTTATTATTACAACTATTATGAAAATGATTACAATAATAACATTGGTGATAATAATAATGGCAATAATGATACAGATGATAATAAAGAAAATAATGATAACAGTAATAAGGGAATGAAGAAAACGACTAAAGGAATATGAAGATCTAGAGCCAGGAAATGAAGGAAAATGTGAAAATAGAAATACTAATAAAAGGATATGAAATAGAAGGAAATGGCAGATGAGAGGAAATCAATAGGAACAGAGGAAAGATGTGTGTTACTATTAGTAATTACATTAATAATGATAATGATGATGATAATGATTATAATGATAGTGATAACAATAAGAAATAATGATATTAATAACTGTAATCATGATAATAAGAACGAATATGATAACAGTATGATGATAATGATGTTGATGGTAATGATAATAATGATTATTAGTATTATTGTCATAATGAGGATGATATTAACAAAATGATAACAAAAGTAATAATAATAATGATCATAAAGCATATATAATGATGATAACAGTGATAAAGATGATGAGGATGAGGATGTAATAATATTAATACTAGTAATAATGATAATAACATAATGATGATGATAATAATAATAATGATAATAATAATGATAATAATAATAATGATAATATAATATAATAATGATAATAATAATAATAATAATAATAATAATATAATAATAATAATAATAATAATAATAATAATAATAATAATAATAATAATAATAATAATAATAATAATAATAATAATAATAATAATAATAGTAATAATAATAATAATAATAATGATAATGATGAAAAAAATCGTCATCATCATCATCCTTATAACCATAATAATAACAATAGTAGAATGATAACGATGATAAGGTAATAAAGATAATAATATTAATAGTGATAATGATAATGATAATAGTACTAGTAATAATAATGATAATAGTAATAATAATGATAGTGATTATGATAATAATGATAATAAAAACAGTGTTGATTATAATAATAACAACAATGATGATAATGGTAATAAGGATAATGATAATAGTAATAATACTAATGATGATAATAATGATGATAATATTAATAATAATGATAATACTTGCAGTCCTAGTACTGTTCGTATTGCCAATAATAACGATGATGATAATAACAATAACAATACAAAAAATAGAAATAATCATCATAATGACGATCACGGTTATAATGATAATAATAGTGATAAGAATAATGACAATAATAATCATGACGAAATTAATATTGGTAATGATAAGGATAATAATAACAAAGATCATTACAGTAGGGTGACTATGATGATGGTAATACAAGTAGCACTAATAAGAGTAAAGTAATATAACCACGGAATGAAAAGCAATTAAAAGTTACTGATGACCGTCCATAATGAACCAACATGTCATTCACCAAACCTCTATTATTTAGCGATTTTATGCATCAATTATGCATGATAATTAATTCACCCAGCAGTGCCAGTATGTGCAAAGAACAGGTTGGGTTTAATTGTTTAGATAATTTAAAAATATCCCATGTCTTGATAGCGAATTGACTGGGAATCATTATTCTGTGCTTTGGCATAGGGGAGAAGAGGGATGAAAGGAGAAACGGGAGGGAGAGAGAATAAGGGAGAACCGGTGATGATCAGGGAGAAAGGGGGTGATAAGGGAGAGGGGGAGGGAGGGAGGAAGAAATACAGAGGACTGGAGAGGATCAGGGAAGTAAGGAGCGGGGGAGGGAGAGAGGGAGGGGTTGAATAAGAGAGGGAAGGAAGAGAGAGAGAGAAGGATAGAGAAAGATAGAGAGAGAGAGCGAGAGAGTGAGAGAGAAACGCACACACACACACTTAGAGAAAGAGAGAGAGAAAGAGAGGGGGGGGGGAGAGAGAGATAAAGAGAGAGATAGAGCGCCATTCAGACAGACAATGAAACAGAGACAAAAGTAGAGAGCAAGAATTGGAAATTTGGAGAATTAGACAGAAGGAATGTAGGAACAGACGGAAGAAGTGATAGACAAAAAAGTCGTTTCAAAACAAACGAGATAGGATAATCGATAAAAGAAAGGAAAAATAAGAATATCCATAATCACTTATTAATAGAATCACCATCATAATAATAATGCCGCTAATAATATGAATCATCCACAACGACTTCGAGGAAAAAACGGACCTAATGAAATAACCAAAAATAACAAAATAAATTAAATTAACCAAAAATAACAAAAAATAACAATCACGACAAAATAAAAACAAATAAAATTGCCCTCTTCCCCACCCCCTTCAACCCGCAGTTCCCCCTCTGGACGTCCGAATCCTAGGCGCCATGGAGAGTCTGAGCGAAGGCGAGCGCTACGAGATCGTGTGCGAGTCTTCGGGGTCGAGGCCGACGGCGACGATCTCCTGGTGGAAGAATGGCATGCTCATGACGGACACCAAGACCGAGGTGGGCGCTGGGGCTGCTAGTATTGTGGTTGCTATTATTATTATTATTATTATTATTATTATTATTATTATTAGTGTTGTGATGATTCACTTTGTTATTGTTGTAGTTGTTGTTGTTTTGTTATTATTATTAAGTTTGTTGTTTCTTCATCTTTTATTTTCTTCTTCTAC